AAAAAAAAAAAAAAATTAATGTCACGTTGATAATGAAATATGACTTTTTGAAATGACTTAAAAAGCAGTAACAAGGCTTCGTGGAAGTTGCTTATGATCTCACACCAACCATAGAGATCTATCTATATGGACGACTGAGAATGGAATGGGACCGAATCCTAACAAGTGTGGGATATATAGTTATATACACTAGGAGATGTATTCAACAAAATGTGTCCGACAGGGATGACTAATCATTTGTCTTTCTTTGACCATGGCTGCACCACCACCCCATTGCATCTCTAATCCGCCATCGTCAAAGTATTTATGTTATTTTTCAAATATTAGTTTTCTGTGCATGGCCATGGATCGTTAGCTGATAAAAAAAATAGTATTCTCGTGGATAATGAAGTTAAAACACGTGGTTATCTTTCTGCTTGTTTTTTGGATGAACTCGGCCATTTTCTTCTTGATAGGTAATTATTTGAAACTTGAAATAGAAAACGCGACTTGGGCTCCTAATTTTGTAAGCATCATCTTAAATGAAGAGGGTAAACAAACATCATCTTTGAAATACTCTCCTTTGCACTATTTTCAACTTTCTCTATATATATCCATGCGCAAATTAAACAAATCTTTTTTATTTGTCCAAAAAATAATTTATTATATCTGAGGAGTTGTGATATAATTAGATAAAAAAAATATTTTTTTCTTATTTGATTAATGTTTGATTTTTTGAGAGATCAATAAAAAAGTAAATTTTTATTAATTCTTTAGTTTTAACTTGAAAATTTATTTTTAATCAAACTTAAAAAATATTAATTAATTTTAAGATACATACAAATTTATTTGAAAGAGCCTTAACTACTAAACACTATAATAATAATAATAATAACAACAACAATAATAATAATAAAATATTATGTAAATAGAAGAGAACATATCTAACCTTTACACAAAAATTACATGCATTCACAACAATTTACATTCATACATCAAACTTTAAGGTATACCTTTTCTATTGTTATATATCTTTACTTTGGGGATGCATTTGAAATTGCTCTTACTGTACTTATCAGACATACTTATTTTTGCAATTTTCTCATTTTCAAACTCTTT